TTTTTTTTTTTTTTTTTTTTTTTTTTTTGAAATCCCCTTGAAACGTCGTCCCCCTGCTTCCCCTCTTGTTTCGAGTGTTGTGATATCTTTGTTGGCATCCCCATGTCTCATTTCTCTCTTTTTTTATCATTTCTTTTTCTGTGTTCTTTTAATTATTAATCGACTGGGTGTTCATCTCGTATGGTTCACTATGCCTTTGCCTTTTCCTTCCATTGTACTCTTATTATAGTCATGGGTGATGATGGCTTTTGCTTCCCCCCAGGATAAGGTCCTATTTTGCCAGAGTCTGTGTTTCTGGCCTCTGATCATTGGAATCTTTTTTTTTTTTTTTTTTTTTTTTAAACCAAAGGCACACCCTGTAGTGCTAGTGATACTGGTTAAAAACAGATATCACTAGCACCCAGGGGAGGCTCCATCTATTGGTGGGGAGCGTCACCTGCTGGAAAACGGGTCCAGCGTCCCTTGTACAGAATTGAAATGAAAGAGGAAGTCGCTCTGATAGGGGATATTAAAGGAGGATTAAAGAGATCCTTGGAATCTACGGTAGGGATTAAAAGAAACTACAGGTAGGGGATGGGGGCCTCACAAGAGCGGGCATGGGTGTAGTGTCACCCACTTGTTGAGATCAAAATAATGAACGTGATCGTAATTGAGGGCATATGCATGAGATTCCTTCGTTGAGGATGCCTGGAGTGTCAGTCGTGATGACCTGTTTAGCGCATGTGGTATGTTGAGGTCACCGGTGCTGTTCCTTCATGATTGAGGGCATACTCGGAACTACCTCGTTCCCTGGAATCGAACATACGGTCATTACAACTGTATGTATTTTGCCCAACTTGCAGTCTAGATTCAGTGATTTTTAGGGTTCTTTATGTTTGAGGGAACGGGGGAATAGATAGGGTAGAACTTTCTCAACTCAGCTGTGGACGTGATTGCGGCCAGGTGCATGACTCTAAAAGCAGCTGCCAGTGGATACATCCAGGAATTCCTCCTTCCTCTTTTGAGTATCCCCTGAGTGAGACTATTCTCTCTTCTTCTTCATCTTCTTCATAGCAATGAGTGGTTGGGTGGTTGGGAGAATTAACTGTTGTGGTGGACAAACACAATTTAATATTTATGTGAAGCTAAAGTAGCAGCTGCTTGAGCATTTGACAAACTAACACCATGATCCATTTCAGTATGCCCTGAGTGTGACTATTCTCTCTTCTTCTTCATCTTCTTCTTGGTTGTGTTCTCAAGCAATTGCTCCTTCCAATACGCAGACAGTCCAGGGGTTCTTTGAGAGTTTTTCTCTTGTGCGCAGGCTAAGCCTCATCCTTAGGCCGCGCACCCTTTCCCTAAACATTGCAATTCTACCTCCCCGTTCGCCTCTATGCACCCCTCGAGTCTCATGCATTTCATCCATCCTTATTGACGCAGGCCCCTATGAGTGGTTGGGTGGTTGGGAGAATTAACTGTTGTGAGTATGCCCTGAGTGTAGTGACTATTCTCTTCTTCTTCTTCATCTTCTTCATAGCAAGGAGTGGTTGGGTGGTTTGGGAGAATTGACATTGACCACTCTTTTGACTTGCAGGTTGCGTGAAAAAGCTGCGTGTAGAGATGAGCTGAATGCTATGGGAGGTGGCCGTGTCAGCTCTGGTCAGAGTAGTGGCAAGAGGACGGTTAATGGTGACCGATCCGTCTGCAGCCGAGACGTGGGAGAGGGAGTGTATGACTTGAGCGAGGATCCGCGGCAGCTGCTGTCTCAAAAGGATGCAGAGATTGCTGAGCTTCGATCCCAGCTTCAGAAGGAAAGGCTGCTGAAGATCACATGCCGCCGACTAGGGGAGAATTTCAAGGAATGGAAGTGAGTTCTGTTGTCAAATGCGTTTTCATGAGGAAAATGGAGTGGGCGCAGAACTGAAATGCGGAAATCACAAAAAAGAAAAAAGAAAAAAAAGAAATGTGGAAATCTTTACGAGTAAAGCTTCGATCCCAGCTTCAGAAGGAAAGGCTGCTGAAGATCACATGTCGTCGACTAGGGGAGAATTTCAAGGAATGGAAGTGAGTTCTGTTGTCAAATACGTTTTCATGAGGAAAATGGAGTGGGCGCAGAACTGAAATGTGGAAATTAAAAAAAGAAAAAGAAGAAAAAAAAAGAAATGTGGAATTCTTTACAAGTAAAGGGTTACGTAAGAGAGATGGTAGTCGTTGTTTAAATGCGCTGTCTGGCAGTATGCAGACAGTAGATATGGAAGCTCATTTTTGTTTGTCAATGCTAAGACAAAAAGGAAGAGGGAGAAGAGAGATGGTTGCAGCAGAAGAAGGGCAAGGGGTGCTGTGCAGGAGGAAGGAAAGAATGATGGAGGAGGAAAAGCAGCAGGTCCCCAAAACACCGTGTCCCACAATGTCTGTGCAGAAGGGGTAGCATGAAGGAAAGGGAGGAGGTTTGTTTTTTTGTGTCGGTGATTGATTGGTTGGTTAATTCTGAGATCGATATGGTTCAAGGGAAGAGGGTCTGCAGACTGCTTTTTTGCTTGGTCAATCGTCTGAATGTTACTCTAGTCGATGGAAGTGCTGAATGATTGTTAGTTGGGTGATCTGTGTGCGGTGTGGGTGCTTGGTCGTCGAAGTTCGTGTGAGTCCACTGCAGATCCCACGAGGCAGGAGAGGCGAGTACTCGCTTGTCTTTGAACTTGTAATATTTCAATTGACGTGCTGAGTTGTTGTGTGGGTTGTGGGAATTTTGAATGCGTTGGGGTTTGTCGGCGGTTGGCAGGCAGAAGAACAGAAAGGCCCATGAGACTCGGAGCAAGGAGATGAAAAATGTGCTTGCAACGTTGTCGGAGGTGAGCAAGAACTACATCGCCAACCTGCAGAAACTCACTCAGCGAGCTGAAAGGACGGTTACTTATCATGTGGACGACGAGGAGGACGAGATCGAGGAGCTGATATCGGCAGAGGCGGCACTCGTAAGCGATTTCGGAGGCGAGGATGAAGAGTGGGCGGAATGGAGAAAGAGCAAGCACAGGAGAGGACACAGTTTGGGAGGGGTGGCTGGTATTCAGACTGATGATGTTATTGCCCAAGAGCTCTTGAAACGGGAGGCGTTCAATCTTGAGAGGAAGAACATGCAGCTGGAAAGGGACTTGGACTGCTACAAGAGCAAGATACGGCACATGGAAGATAACATGGATATGGTGTGCAAGGAGAACATGCAGCTGCACGGCCGCGATGCACAGCAGAGGTTGGAGTTGGAAGAGGCGCTGAGAATGAAAATGGAGGCAGAGCAAAGGGCAGAAGAACTTGCACAGGAACTGGCAAGCCTCAGAGAGGAGATGATGGTGCGGAGGACGATGGAGCAAAGCTGTGCAAGACCAGCTGAGGCTAACGGGGCGCAGAGTCGTCACACTCCTCCGGCTGCCCTGATTGCGGTAGGGAGTGCGGGTGGCATGCTTGTTGCTCCTAGAGGAGGATGGGGATTGTCGACGCCCAAGGCGGTTGTGAAGGAAATGATGTCGCCAGCCCAAACACCAGCGGTGGAGCATGTGGAAGAGGGAGAACTGCTGTTGCAAGGGGAAGAAGAAGAAGAAGAGGGTTCCTGTGCATCTGCTGGAGCCGAGAGTCAGCGAGACGATCATCGAAGAGCCGCTGCTGGTGGTGTCTTGTCAGGCAATGATACAAATGATACTCTCTACGACATCAACCCACTCGATATGCTCAACAACGATGCAACCGTCGAGATGCAAGGTTTGACCAATAACGGACCAGGTTCAGGACAGGCTGCTAGTGCGGGAGGAGCGGAAGGGGAGGTGGAGAGTGTCTGGAAGACGGGGGAGATGGGCCCTGCGATCTCCCATCATGATCATGGAGGTAATTCACATTCGATTCCAGCTAGACAGGCTGTTGTTACAAACCATGACGATGCTGCAATGGATGGAAAGCAACCTCCTCCTTTGAGAGCTGCAACAGGACCGGGCCCCAGCCGTGTGGTGGATGGTTTAAATAAAAGGCATGCTCCTCGTCATGTCAGGACGGACTCTGCCTTTTCCGCTATCCACTCACCACTCCCTATTGCATCCATGTTACTTCCCTCGGATGACAACGAAGATGGGTGCAGCAAGGGTGCTGCGGAGGAATGTCAGGACAACTGTGGCTCGGTGGAGATTCATGAGCTCGTCGAGTCGGGGACAAGGCAAGCGGATATCCCTCGAGGAACATGCACAACGGCTTTTGTAGAGTGCGGCGAGGTGTGCAGAGAAGGTGTGGCAACGGACAGGATGGTGGAAGGTGCTACATCGCCAGGGGAAGTCGATGCTACTGGTAATGAGGCATCACCAGAGGGCGAGGGGCGAACAGAAACCAGCGGGTTTGCAGTGGCAGTGATGGATAGCGCGATTGACGATGCGGTCGTGGTGAGAATGGGTGGAGTGGTGGGTGAGCTGGTATGCGCTGATGATGTTGTGCTTGATTGCATGGCGGCCCTGGACTCCTGTGATGTTAATTATGATATCAGCGGATTTGGATCCGTTGAGGTACGCAATTCGTACGAGAAGTATCTCACAGGTGGTCGGGGAGCAAGCCCTCGATGTCTCATTATCAATGCTGCTGCAGATCCCGTTTCGGAGAGCTCTGGCGGTTGTGGCTCCGGATCCCCCAGTCGGGGAAGAGCTGAGAGAAGAAATGGGTTGAAGACGAGCCGATCTCTTTGGTGTCCTGCGAGCTGTCTTCCTGAGGATTGCTATGCTGGTGCCTCCGTTGAAGAGGGTGACGTGACGTATCCCCGCCCGATCATTTGCTATGGTGAGCAGTCGGAAGAAGACGGTCTGCATGAGGATGATGCAAGGGTATTTCCCCCAACAGTTTGCGACTCTGTGCAAGGGAGGTGGCATTCGCACAGAGAAGACTGCACGACCAACAGTGATGGCAGAGCCTCTACCGCAAGCACTTTGGTGGAGATTTTAGTCAGTCCAAGAGAAGGGAAACTGCTTGCCACTGGTAGTGCTGTGGGAGCACGGACCTGCAGAGATGCCCCCAGGAAAGGCGAGAACAGTTTGTGGAGGCCCGCCCACCTCTCCTCGGGGGGCGCCGATGATTCAAGAGAGATCAATGAAGCGAGAGACCGAAGGATCTACAGCACAACTCAACACAACCCTTCGTCTTTGTGGGTGGGAAACATGCCAGGTGTGAGTTCAGTCCGGGTTGATTCGCTTGCGGGCATAGACCTTGCCGACATGTCCGTGGGAGCTGCAAGCAGCGGGTTGTCCATGCTTCCTCAGAGAGTGGAGCGTCTTGGGGATTGTGAAATGGACGCAGGTGCGGGGTCAGTGGTCAGGGAGGGGAAGCATAGCGAGGCTTTCTGGAGAGGACATGCCGAATGCTCGGCGGCAGGGCGAAATCGGGACAAAATGGATCTGCTCTGCCGTTGTAGCAGCTTGGCGGACAGCCAGCGCTCACCGGAATGGAACGCCGAACAGGAAAGCATGCACTGGACATCCGACTTTCCGGAAGCAGCCTGCTGTCAGGGCGAAGACGACAGGCGGTTTACTTCTCTTACCGTGTCGGTGTCGGATTCTGTCCTTATGCAGAGTCTGGGGGAGGATGACGATGGTGCAAGTAACGATGGGGAAGTGTTGATCGGAGAGAGTTTATCGGGAGCAATTCCTGGAGACGAGGGTTCTCCGGGCCGGGAAAGACAGAAGGGAAGGGAAAGGGAACCGCTTTGTCCGTCGGATCCGCCATCCAATGGGTCGTCTCTTGATCGGCTTGTAGATGAGCTGTTGGCAAATGGCCACATAGGTGGGGCGGATGATGTGAATCCTTCTCCCGTTTGCCGCAAAGAGGACGGAGAGCAGCAATGCAGTAATGACGCAGCATGGGAACGAACGAAGGTCGAATCTTATCCTTGCAGGCAATCTGAGGAGTACCGGGATCATGGTGATGAAGTGTGCATGGATGGCGAAGGATCTACAATATCCGAGGAGGAGAGGGATGGGGAGGGGCAGTATGAGGAGGTTGAGACTAAGGCAGCAGGCGAGGAGGATACGGAGCTGTTACCTAAGCAGGGAAACAGTGGAGATTGTCTCGGCAGCACTAGTGGTGGCGGTAAGGTGTCAGCTTGTCCTGGAAGGACTGCTGGAACAAGTGGAACAGTGAACGCATTACTATCAGCAGGAGGAATGAGTGGGTATGGCTGGCCGCTGTCATCAGACAGAATGGATTGTTTTGCGAGGCAGCGGCTTGTGCTTGGCCAAGTAGAGGCCGCTGTGGAAGAAGAGGAGATGAATAAGGTTTATGTACTGCTGAAAAAGAATAGGTGGAAAGAAGGACAGGAGGGTGCGGATGGAGCGGTGAAGATCGTCGGATCGTCTTCGAGTGGTGGAAGCAGCACTGATGAAAGTGCGGCTGCTGTTGTTGCTGCCGCCCGTGCTGCGGAGTTGCATCTCAATGCAGACGGACAAGTTGCCCCCGTTCACTTTGAGGATGGCTTGGACTCTGCCAGCACCATCACTGAAGAAGACACTAGGAGCATCAAGGAGAGCGATATATCCTTGGACGACAGCCATGATGAGCATGATGCTGAGGGTCTGGGTTGTCACACACGATCAGGGGTAGGTTCCAGAGTGGCTGGGAGAGCCTCTGTCTTGTGCAGGAAGGAATGGGGAGCGGGCGGAGGTGGCTTGCGAGGGAGAGGAGTTAATGACCTCCCAAAGAAGCCGGCAAGGAGGATTGTCGGGTCGTTGGCAAACGGCTGCCTTCCTCTTGGTCCGAAGTCCAAGATTGGGGCAACACTTGATGCCAGTCATCATGAAGAAGCCAGCCCTCTGGAACGGGTGAAATCAGGGATAGGTAAGGGCGTTGGTTCGGTGGGCCACCAGGCGGGAAGGTCGGTTTGCGGCAAGAAGGGTGGGAGTGGGTGCTCTTCTGTCGGCCATCCCTCGACGAAGTCGGATAGAAGTTGCATAAGAAGAGGGTATGGAGGTCCACCGAGGACGGACGAGAGGAAAGGTGTAGGAGCTGCGGGCAGGGCGAAACTGCCATTTGACCAAGTGCATAAAGTAGAGGGTACCGAGAAGAGGGGAAGGGGTGATGCCAAGCCTCTGCTAGGAGTGGGACGACCCAAGCGAAGTCTTGTCGAGAGAATCTAAGTCGTAAATGAACGCAAGATGTGTTTTCACACTTGATAGGAGAAGGGCGGAAAGGATTATTTGCGGAAGGAAAGCAGTGATAAGCACAGTGTGCGGGGGGGGGGATCAGTTGCACTTGTCTTGTCCTTGTAGAAGCAGCGCCGGAGAGACGAACAGACATGTAATGTGCTGAGAGTTCGACGAGTAGACAAGCAGAGGACACGTAATCTCGAACAGTTTTGGCGAGAAAGGCTGTAGAACTGTCCTGAGGGGGACACGAGTGAACCCGTTCGGCGGTTTCCATGCAGGATCGAGGGTGACAGGACAGCCTCTTCTACTTGGATTCCTTGTGCAGCAAAAGCTGCAGCTGAGAGGAGACCAGCATTTTTCAGTGGTACCTGAAACAGAGCGGATGATGTTGCAATAATGCAAAAGAACCGTTCAGTATAGATAGGGAAGACACAGTTCGCAGGGAAAGAAGACTGCAAATGTAAGTTGTGTCTCGAGTGGTTGAGGAGAATGGGAGAGCAGGATGTGAAAGAAGGCATGTTGTGAATAAGACAACAGTGAATGCGAGGGTGTACATTGTAAAGTGAGGAACAATGAGCAAGCAGACCACAGTTCTTAACAGCATGACTATATGGTTTGCGGGACAGCGGGGGAGCAAAGGAGAAAGCGAGATGTGGGGGCAAGGGCGCAAGGAGGCGAGCAGAAGAAGGTGACAGCAAGGAGAGGAGTGCAAGAAGGCGAGCGCAAGGAGGCAACGGCAAAGAGTGGGCGAGGAGGCGAGTGCCCGGATGCGAGTGCACAGAGGCGACGGCAAGGAGTGGGCGAGGAGGCGAGTGCACGGAGGCGTGTGCACGGAGGTGACGTCAAGGAGGCGACGGCCAGGAGTGGGTGAGGAGGCGAGTGCACGGAGGCGTGTGCGCTGAGGAGGGCGCAAGGAGGCGGGCGCAAGGAGGCGAGCTCAAGCAGGCGAGCGCAAGGAGGCGAGCGCAAGGAGGCGAGCGCAAGGAGGCGAGCGCAAGGAGGTGAGCGCAAGGAGGAGAGCGCAAGGAGGCGAGCGCAAGGAGGGGAGCACGAGGAGGTGAGCGCGAGGAGGCGAGCGGGAGGAGGCGAGTGCGAGGAGTGGAGCACGTGGAGGCGAGCTTGAGGAGGCGAGGAGGCTGAGCGCAAGAAGATGAGTGCAATTCGGCGATGGCTAGGGGGCGAGTGCAGGAAGGCGAGTGCAAGGAGGCGAGCAGGAGGAGGCGAGTGCGAGGAGTGGAGCACGAGGAGGCGAGYTTGAGGAGGCGAGCTTGAGGAGGCGAGCTTGAGGAGGTGAGCGCAAGAAGATGAGTGCAATTCGGCGATGACAAGGGGGCGAGTGCAGGAAGGCGAGTGCGAGGAGGTGAGCGCGAGGAGGCGAGCGCGAGGAGGCGAGTGCGAGGAGTGGAGCACGAGGAGGCGAGTGCGAGGAGGTGAGTGCAAGAAGGTGAGGGCAATTCGGCGTTGGGGGCGAGTGCAGGAAGGTGAGTGCACAGAGGTGTGTGGAGAGAGAGAGAGAGAGAGAGAGAGAGAGAGAGAGAGAGAGAGAGAGAGAGAGAGAGAGAGAGNCGAGTGCAGGAAGGCGAGTGCGAGGAGGTGAGCGCGAGGAGGCGAGCGCGAGGAGGCGAGTGCGAGGAGTGGAGCACGAGGAGGCGAGTGCGAGGCGCCCGCTGCAAGAAGGTGAGCTTTCCCCGGCGTTGGGGGCGAGTGCAGGAAGGTGAGTGCACAGAGGAGTGTGGAGAGAGAGAGAGAGAGAGAGAGAGAGAGAGAGAGAGAGAGAGAGAGAGAGAGAGAATGCAGGAGGAGGGAGGAGGAGGGAGGTGCTGTGAGAAGAAGGAAGAAGGTGAATAAAGAGGGTGAAGGAAGATGGTGAAGGAGGGAGATGGAGGGAGAATAAGAAATGGAGGCAATGGAGGCAGGAAGAAGGTTGAGCGTGAAGTTTTCTTGAAAATCTATGATGCAAGGATGATAATGCTGGAAGGTGCACCTGCATGGAGGCTGCTCGAGGACGTGAGCTAATGGGTTGCTTGTCATCAAACCATATGCGTGCTCTGCTAGGGTCAATTTATTGCTTTAGAGTGTCTATTTAGAAGAAGGCGACGCCGCGACGGAGCTGTTTATGGCGCTGTGCTTCGTGCAACCATCACGAATGCGACCGTGCCCTAGTAGTTAGGATGTTTCTTTTTTACCTACGGGTTTGATTGTGAAAAACGTTTTGATCGGGGGGGGGAGAGGGAGGGACCTGTCCTCCATAGTCACTCACCGGGTGCAGAGGAGGAGGGGGGCGTTGAATCGAGGGGGTGAAAGAGTCGTATGAAGAAAATGACAAGCAGAGGTCGAAGGCATTCCCGAAACTTCTGCGATTTCTTTTTCGGTCTTTTCACTAGAGTGAACTACTCATGTTCCAATCCATTTGTGCCTTGATGATGCCGTCAGTCCAGCGATGTCGAATGGAGGCACTCATGATTACATTCTGTCTCTCTCCTCGCAACCCAGGGTCTACGCAAGGTGTTCTTTCATCTGCATATTGGGCAGGTTTACATGCAGCAGTCGTGGTTGAGGACCAAGGATGGAGAGAGAAGGCTGCTGAGTGTGGCTGATCATGCGTGTAACCACAGGGAAAGAGAAGGGAGGCCTGGGACGAAAGGCGAGAGCAGGGGACGCCTGGAACCAAAGGGGAGAGATGGGAGCTGAGGTACGGATATCCTCGCTGCTGATATGATACACGCACATGCCCGTGATTGTCCGGTCGATATATGCTTTGCCCTGTGCATGACACAGAGTTATCGTAGTCTAAGCTCGGATTGTATTTTTCTGAAGGATTTCCCCTCCCTTTCTTCCCCCTCCCCCCCTCCACCTCCAGAACGTCACATTGTACCGTTGGATACCAGGGATGGTCGGGTCCAGATACGGTGTTACATGGGTATTGGAGATAGCTATCTGGCTTGGTTGGTCTTTTTCTGAAGTATTTCTTGTCCCCCGCCCCCACCCCCCGCCCCCGCCCCCTGTCACCGCTCGGTTTGAAAATGTGGTGCCATGGATGGTGACCGTCCCTCCCAGAGATATCTCCTGGGATCTTGAAGTCGAGGTCGTTGAGGGACTCACTGGAATCTCAGTGAAGAAGGTTGACGACTGTTGTCGACGCTGCCAACGTCGTGGAAAAAAATACATGTTTGACGATCGGTTGGTGGTTGCGTAACAGGGGAAGTTATCGTGTATAGGGAGGGGGGTATAGGGACTGTTGTTTTGCATGGTGGCTCGGGGGGTCGATGGTTCAGGAAGTGATGGGGAACGTGGTCCATATTCTGGAAGTGGTTCGGAATACGTCCTTCGGATAAAGGAGGAGGGGGAGATTCACATTGTCAAGGACAAAATGGGCATGACCAGTTCTAGGAGGGAGGTAGCGTTCGGTCAACTGTCTCATCTGCTCTTCCATGGAAAGGAATGCGGAGCGGCCTTGCTGCCGAAGGGGGACGAGGAGAGAAGCAGACCACCTAGGAGCGCGGCACATGGGGATTGTTGCTGGTGTTTAGAGGAAGGAGGACTTAAGTAGATGGTAGTCGGCGTTGTTTCTATTTTTGTAGATGTATGGAGTTGGGGAGTTGCAGTGTTTATAATCTTTCCTGTTCAGGGAAACAACCTACTCTGTCTACTCCGCGAGTTTCCTGTTCAAGGAATTGCACCGATGCTACTCGGAAGGAAGCGAGTAGCATGGCACAGGCGAGGCTCCGAGTCTTCTCTGGAAGCCGTGTCGCATCTGTGTGCGTGCGAGTCCGTACGTCCGTCCGTTCGAGGCAGATGGATGCCTTTTTTTTGAAATTTGTAATTGAATTGAATTAAGGTCATTACCTTGTTGATGCTTAAAGGTGGCTTTTTGTTGTTTCTGTAGTTTTGAGCTTTTGACGACGGCCTTATGATGATTATCGTTTTGTGAAGGAACAGCTGGGTTGAGGGTGTTCTAAGTTCAGGTTAGCAATCAGGTTGGGTAGGTCCAGATGCGGGACGTACCAATCAGGTCATGTGTAGGTCCATTGACAAGTATGACCGAAACGCGAGAGTACGTTATGTTCGTTGCTGCGAAATGACGAGATACAACCGCCAACGACGACAACGGTCATTTGGTGTCTGCGGAGGCTCAGATTTCATCGTATTATATTTCACAATCAGATTGTTTGTGCTTCAGGGCACGATAGGAGAGTCTAGAGGCATATTCTTAAATGGAGAGAGAGAGAGAGAGAGAGAGAGAGAGAGAGAGAGAGAGAGAGAGAGAGAGAGGGTGGAGAATCTTGTCTTCGTCTGCTGTCCATTGGTGACGCCGAGGTACCTCGACCAGACGGGACAGCAGGCAAGGAGAATTCTTGTGTTATTTGTGACTTTTGGTGATTGAACGGAAGTGTGCATTTTTTTCGGAATCGGTCATATGTTGAATGCAGCATTATCAGCAGCTGTGCTCTGCTCTCTCCCCTCTCTCCTTCCTTTCTCTCTGACCAACCCACCTCTCTCGTGCCTCTCCTCTCTCCTCCTTTCTATTGGATCATGTGTTGTCCTGTGTTATGGTTACTTTTGCTGATTGAACGGAATTTTGCATTTTTTGAAATCGATCATCTGTTGGATGCCACAGCAGCTGTGCTCTTGTTGCTCTCCTCTTCTTTCTCATTTCCCTCTACACAACCCCGACCTCTCTGGTCCCTCTCCTCTCTCCTTCTCCTTTGTGATCTTGGATTAACCCACTCTTCATGTGTGCAATCCTCACCCCTCCCTCCCTCTCCCTTGGAATCCTTGCGGTTTCAGATGTACCCGATACCAATGTGACTGTGTGTTGATTGGACAAGAGTGGACACTTGTATTCTCGTTATCAGGCGGTTATCTTCCTTTTTCAGACCATTTTTTATGTGTGCATGTGTGATGTCTTCTCTATCGAAGTGAGTGTTTCACTATAGTGTTTCGCTATAGTGTTTCGCTATCTAATTACAAACATGCACCTTAAGAGATCTATTCATTTGAGTTATGCCCCTCAAAC